GCCTTCTGAAATTACAATATTGGTGTATAAACTATCAATGTCCATGGTAAATAAAAATGCATTAGGGGGTACGTGGATCTGCTTAATTCTTTCAACAAAATCATATGTGTCTTTGATGTAGCTGGCATGTCTGATCGAGAGAGGATTGAGATAGTGGTCTATGAACTCCAAGATGTATGGATGGACAGAGGTTCGCTACAGGAGACGCCGTCAGCGGGCCCGTGAACCTGCTTGGGACCGGGGTTACGGGAGGTCCGAGGGCTGGATGGACCGTGCACCCTCCTTCCCTTTTCGGAGGGAGACAGTCCCCTTCCCTAACCCTACCCTTTTGTTCCCCCCTTCCCTGTGTTTTCTGTCTGTCCTCCCTGTCTGTCTGTCTGGGCGTGGCTACACTCCCTGGCTCCAGCAGCGCACCTGGCTCTCATTCCACTTATCAAGCTCCTGCAGTATTTCAACCCCAGTCCTCCTCACATTCTTCGCCAGATCGTCAGTTAACCACATGTGGTACATGCGTGCCCAGGATCACACTACCTCCGGGAAACCTGCTGAACGCCACACCCCGCTCTGCTCCTATCTTGCCTAGCATAACTCCCCTCCTCTGTGTTCTCCATTCTGCCCTGTTGGAGCCAACCACCCAGTCCTCTGTTGCACCTTTCAATAAAACCCCTTTGTTACCCCTTCGAACTGTTCCGAGTCTTCCTTTGAGTCCTCAAGTTTTTGCACTATGACAGTACGTTGCTCTGGCATTACGGAGGGCCTTCCTATAAGTTTTAAGACTATCTTGCCAAATTAAACAAGACTTTTCCAGTTTAGTGGAACGCCAATTCCTCTCAAGTTTCCGCGATATTTGCTTTAATTTGCGAGTTTCAGTATTATACCATGGAGCTAACCGTCTTTGTTTTAGTATTTTCTTTCTCTCAGCGAGCCTGCAGCACTATCAACAAGATGATCGATTTGGGAGGGACTGAAATTAGCACAGGAGTCCTCCGTTACTTTGTGACTAGATAATGTATTTAGAGCTGATGGAATCGCATCCTTAAATTTAGCTACAGCACTATCAGACCGACATCTTCACCCATGTGTACACATGTACACAGTGTGATGGAGCATAGTGCAAAGGATGCTGGAAAAAATAAATAAGACCTATGACCTGAGGTAGGTGGATTGGTATACAGTATATACAATATGACATAGTATGAACAGCACTGAAATGGAGAATGGTAAATAAAAAGCGGAAACTAGTAAACAGGTGCGGATTAGAGACAGAGTTACTGGGTTATTGCACAGGAATTGTTCCTGACACTGAGTCAGAAATCAGCTGTTCATTAGAGTGATGGCTTGTGGGAAGAAACTGCTTCTGTCTCTATTGGTTTTGGCGTACAGAGCTCTGTAGCGCCTACCAGAGGGGAGGAGCTGGAACAGGTTGTGTCCAGGGTGAGATGGATCTGCAGTGATGTTTCCTGACTCTGGAAATGTAGTCCTGAATGGAGGGCAGGTTGGCACCGATAATTATTATTTTTTGAGTTCTGACTGTCCGTTGTAGTCTGCTCCTGTCCTTTTTGGTGGCAGATCTGAACCAGACAGTGTTGGAGGTGCAGAGGACAGACTGGATGATGGCTGTGTAGAACTGGATCAGCAGCTCTTAGGCAGGTTGAGCTTCCTGAGCTGACGTAGGAAGTCCATCCTCTGCTGGGCCTTCTTGATGATGGTGTCAGTGTTGGGCTCCCACTTCAGGTCCTGGGATATAGTGGATCCCCGAAACCTGAAGGATTCCACAGCAGACACAGGGCTGTTGAGTATGGTGATGGGGGGCAGAGTGGGGGGGCTCCTCCTGAAGTCCACGGTCATCTCCACAGTTTTGAGCGTGTTAAGCTCCAGGTTGTTCTGACCGCACCAGAGAGCAGCAACCTCCCATCTGTAGGCCGACTCGTCACCGTCCCAGATGAGGCCGATGACCGTTGTGTCGTCAGCGAACTTCAGGAGTTTGACAGATGGGTCTCCTGAGGTGCAGTCGTTGGTGTAGAGGGAGAAGAGCAGTGGGGAGAGCACAACCCCGGGGGGGGGGGGGGGTGCCAGTGCTGATAGTCTGGGTGCTGGATGTGATGTTTCCCAGCCTCACCTGCTGACTCCTGTCAGTCAAGAAGTTTGTGATCCACTGACAGGTGGAGGCTGGCACAGTGAGCTGGGTGAGTTTGGTGCTGAGGATGTCTGGGATGATGGTGTTGAACGCCAAGCTGAAGTCCACGAACAGGATCCTAGCATATGTCCCTGGAGAGTCGATGTGTAGCAGGATGTAATGCAGTCCCAAGTTGACAGCATCATCCACTGACCTGTTAGCCCTGTAGGCAAACTGCAGGGGGTCCAGCAGGGGGCCTGTCATGTCCTTCAGGTGGGCCAACACCAGTCTTTCAAAGGACTTCATGACTACAGATGTCAGGGCGACAGGCCTGTAGTCATTTAGTCCAGAGATTGAGGGTTTTTTGTGACCAGGATGATTGTGGAGCGTTTGAAGCTGGAGGGAACTTCACACAGCTCCAGTGTTTTGTTGAAGATCTGAGTGAAGATGGGGGCCAGCTGGTCTGATGATGAGACACCGTCGGGTCCAGGAGCCTTCCTGATCTTCTGCCTTTGGAAGAGGTGGCTCACGTCCTCTTCACAGATCTTGAGTGCAGGTGAGGGGTCAGAGGGGGAAGGTGACTGTTTGAAGATGGCGTTCGAGTGGGGGAGAGCTGTGACTCTGGGCTTTTCAAACCTACAGTAGAAACACTGTGACATCTGTGCACCAACCTTCGTTTATATAGAAACAGAAGTGAGCTGTCCGGGATGCGCTCGGTGAGCCAGGATTCGGTGAAACAGAGGGCAGCAGATCTGCAGAAGTCCAAGTTAGTTCTGTTGAGGAGCAGCAGTTTGTCCATTTTGTTGGCCAGAGAGTGGACATTCGGCAGGTGGATTGAAGGGAGCGCAGTGCGAAATCCCCGCTGTCTCAACCTAACCAGCGCGCCTGCATATTTTCCCCTGCGCCGTTTCCGAAGGATCCCAAACAGAGCTGCCGGTCCTCCAACTAATAACTCCGGGAAAGTTCCAGGGTCAATAAAGAGCGGTGGAATAGTATGAGCAGTTGAAAGTCCAATGTTTAAGAGCTCTTCTCTGGTAAAAGTTACCAGAGAGGGATGGCAGAAAACAGAGTTAACAAAAACACAAAAAGCACTACGGAGCATAATCCCAAGGCGGCCGTCTGCGGCGCCATCTTGTTCCATTGTCCATCTGTTTGAGTATGTGCTGTTAACCAGTTCACAGGCACTAGAGGCCCCAGACTTAGACTAAGCCCTTTTCAGATAGTGATTTTGCTGTGGTCTGAGAGGGGTTGAGGGGGCTGACTGTGAAAGCTCTGAGAGACACTGGATCTAGATCTGTAATGAAATAATCTACCGTACTACTGCCAAGAACTGAGCTGTAAGTGTAGCGACCCAGAGAGTCCCCTCGTAGCCCGCCGTTGACTCTGTACAGACCCAGAGAGTCCCCTCGTAGCCTGCCGTTGACTCTATACAGGCCCTGCTCTGCTCTTCCACCATGTAGCTATATGAGGCGAGAGCAGAGCAGGGTTAGCATGTGTAATATGTCTTTGAGTTCACCAGAGGGGGGCGGGGCTGTGGCTCTTCTCACCGCTGCAGCATAGTTCAGTCTAATAGGCTGCTGCTCCTGTAGTCTTGGGTCTGCC